ATTTCTCTTGCCCTTCAACCAAAACCTGGTGACGAGTTAGCCATCTTGCGGTTCAACTTGTAAGCCGATCTATGTGGTCTTACCTTCTTGTAATGCGTGGCTGTTTGAATTTTACGGATCGGTTGCATGAGTGCATCCTGAACAGCGATGCTAATATCACTGCCGGAGTAACCCTCGCTCATCTCCGCCAGTGTTCTGTAATCGGCTTGTGTCATTTCACACGGTGTTTGCCCGACAGCTAGCATGAACATTTTCATTCGTGCATTGATGTCGGGAAGACTGATGTGGACTCTCCGTTGGAATCTGCGACGAATAGCCGCATCTAATTGCCATGGAATATTCGTTGCGCCCAGAATTAGAACACCCCTAGAATCCTTTCCTACACCATCCATCTGAACCAGCAATTCCGTCTTGATACGGCGAGATGCCTCTGATTCTCCCTCTCCACGAGGGCCACAGAGGGCATCCACCTCATCGATGAAGATAATAGCGGGCTTGTTCTCTCGGGCCATATTGAAGAGCTGCTTCACGAGCCTGTTATGCGTCAGAAAGTGCCCGAAACACATGCGCTGAGTCCGCCCAGAGACCGTACCTTTCACTCTCACCCATCCACTTCGATACTAGATCACTGCTACTGACACTGAAGAATGTACTGTTTGCTTCCGTGGCCACGGCTTTGGCAAGGTACGACTTTCCGGTACCGGGAGGCCCGTAAAGCAAGATGCCCTTCCATGGCTGTCGTTTCCCCGTAAACAGATGGGGAAACTTAATAGGTAATATGACCGCCTCCTTCAATGCCTCCTTGGCGCTCTCGAGACCTGCTACATCCTCCCACTTCACGTTCGGCTTATCCGACAAGATCGCCCCAGCAAGGGCGCTGCGTAGCTTCTTCGAATCAGCGTCTTCGTTATCGTCCTCATTCTTGCTAAAACCACGCATATATCAGCACCCACTATCCATACAGAAACAGTATGGAGACGACTGGAATACGTACTCGCCCTTCCCACTGCCTTGCGCCACCTTGCCGTTGGCGCCTACCGCACTTGGCTTCTTCCGACTCTCCGTTGCTTCAAGGTGGGTCTTGAGCTTCTCTGCGCGATCTAGATATTCGCCCGTTTTCGCGCGAATCATCTCCTTGGACTTGGGGTTCTTCTCCCATTTCAGGGCGAGCATGAATAGCTCCAGTGCGGCGTAGTAGCCCTGATAAGCCTTCTCGTACTCGCCCGAATTGTCGAGCTCGATGGCCTTCTTCACGGCGTCAATCGCCCGCCCCAGAAAGTCCGTGTTACTCATGATTGTTCGGGGTTGTTTGTGCGTACTCCGGGTTTGCTAATGGAGCCCGTAGGGAGGGATCGTCTCGGTGTGTGGAGAGAGGGAGGAGGCCGGAGGCGGGGAGTGATTGAGGTCTGCCTGGATGTGTTGGAATGCGGGAAACGGATGGGGGGGGGTAAGGTACGAAACAGGACAGATCAAGACTAGACAAAAGCCGGACCCATTCGACTCTAGAAAATGGACCAAGAGGAATACAAGCAGGTATCAATCGACTGAGTTCTTGGCGGGATGATTGGAGGGGAGAAATGGCAAAAGGCGGCCTAGAGTGATGTTTACCGTCCTGCATTTTCTGCCGTTTCCGCTCTCTATTTTGCCTGAAGTCCCCGCCATAGAAACCACTTCTAGTACGGAGGAGTTCATATTAAACCCACACCACTGATCTATTACTACCACAATTGTCGATACTCATTTGCATAACTTTGTCACAGTAATAAACCATGGCGGATGCACAAAAACAGATGCAGGCACTCTCGGACGAGTTCCAAAAATTACAGACCGGTATGTCAGGGAACCCTTGGCCGGAACTCCCCCCACTACGGCACCGATGTGACCACCATGCGCCCGATACTGACACGGCAGTCATCCTTAGAACTGGATAGTTTTGTCGAAGCTCGCCAGAAGCTTGAATCACAGCAACAGGAAAATCAGGGAGTCCAGAAGGAGTTTAACTCATTGGATGACGATGCGAATATCTACAAGCTTATCGGGCCGGTCCTGTTGAAGCAAGATAAAAACGAAGCTCTGATGGCTGTCAATGGACGTCTTGAGTTTATTGAGAAGGAGATGTGCGTTAAAGAATTCAGTCTGGGAAGGTTAACAGTTGAGGTTGTGCTGACAGAGTGAGCAGTAAACGGATTGAGGGACAAATCAAGGAAAATCAAGACAAGAGTGACAAGATGCGAGCAGAGGTGAGGGGTGTCTCTGGATACCGACTAAGCACAGGGCCAAGAGCTGTTTCTGATCCTTGTTCACAGATGCTTCAATACCAGAGCCAAATGCAACAGCAAGCGGCAGCTACATCCGCCTCCGCTTGAGCTTGAACACATATTTAACCCGTTTCATAAAAATGGAGTCTTCGGCGCTTACAGGTCAGAGCGCAGAAGCAAGCCCACAAATTTGGGAAAAGGAGTTGGTGTGCTTGAGCGTGACCCCATTTGCCAGTTTTGGGGTTACAGGTCACTTTGCGCACCATGGCCGTGGACATTGACCACGATGATACTACATCGGTTAGAAACGGCTACCAACTGGGGCAGGGGTTCTGCGAACTCGGTTGTTTGACATTTGGCAGATCGCAAGATGGACGTGTTGTGGAATTGTTCAATGGCTGGTTTGAGTTGGCGATGCACAATTGTCGTAATACGATATTCTCTACCACATAACACGGTTGGATACCTTGCAGTAGCTGTACTGCTTCGCTGTCAGACAATCATCCATTTCTGTACAGTCAATGTAGTTCCTAGGGAGCCTTTGCGCTGCATAACGCAATGTATTAATGCTTTATGAGCCTTCTTATGTGCTTTAAGAGGATAAGATGAATGTATGTCCATGGCCTCTAAATTCTATTTATGCTACATCGACCTGTCAATCATTTGAACTCCATAACTTTCATGTATTCATAACCCGCTCGAATCATCTCTAGATGTGGCGTTAGGACGATCTATATATTAAAATATCTTTATGCCTTAACCAGGAGATTCTGTCCGGACATCTCCTCAGGCTGCTCGATGCCCATGGCAGCGAGAACGGTTGGTGCAACGTCTCCAAGCACGCCACCCTCCTTCTTGAGGCTCCAGCCCTCAGGGGCATTGGCCATGATGAAGGGAACCTTATTGGTGGTGTGAGAGGTCTTGGGTGTGCCCTTCTCAGTGAGCATTTCCTCGGCGTTTCTGGAAGAAAAGAAGTCAGCAGGGAAGCTCGCCCTACGGATGATCTATATGGATGGTGAACGCTTACCCATGGTCCGCAGTGATGAAGAGGACATAGCCGTGCTTCTTGCAGGCTTCATAGATGGCACCGATGGCCTTGTCGGTAGCAGCAACACCCTGAATGGCAGCTTCATACTTACCAGTGTGGCCAACCATGTCAGGAGGAGCAAAGTTGTTCATGACGAACTCGAACTTGCCCTCGCCAATGCGGTCGGCCATCTTCTGACCGACGGCCTCAGCGCTCATCTTGGGGTCCAGGTCGTAGGTCGCAACCTTGGGGGATGGAATCATGTCGCGGACCTCGCCAGCGAACTGCTTCTCAATACCACCGTTGAAGAAGAAAGTGACGTGAGCGTACTTCTCAGTCTCGGCAACGTGGCACTGTTGAACATCCTTCTTGCTGAGCCATTCAGCGAGCACGTTACCCATGTGCTGAGGGGGGAAAGCAAGAGGGAATGTGTAGTCGGTCTTATACTGGGTCATAGTGGTGATGTGGATGTTCTTTGGGTAAGGGAAGTCGGGCTTGGGGGTGCGGTCGTAGTCACCGAGCAGCTGGGTGATTTCGCGAACACGGTCAGAGCGGTAGTTGAAGAAGAAAAGGGTGTCATCATCTGCCAATTTTCGTCAGCCATCTGCACACTGCGAATCGTTGAATAGGCCATCATACCCTTGACCCGGCTCTCCTTGCCACCGACGATGATGGGCTTCAGGAATTCGTCGGTCTCATCCTTTTCGTAGCGCTCGTTGATGGTCTTAACAGGGTCGGAGGACTCCTCGCCCTCTCCCGAGACAATGCCCTTCATGGCAATTTCGACACGATCCCAGCGCTTGTCGCGGTCCATGGCCCAGTAGCGTCCAACAACAGTGGCGATTTCACCAATGCCGATTTCCTTGGTCTGATCAAGAAGCTGCTGCATGTACTTGGTAGCACTCTTGGGCTCGGTGTCACGCCCATCGCCGAAGAAGTGGATGAAGACCTTGGGAATCTCCATCTCCTTGGCAACCTTCAACAGGCCGATCAGGTGGGTGATGTTGGAGTGGACACCACCGTCGGAGACGAGACCCAGGAGGTGAAGACGACCATTGCCTTCCTTGGCACGTTTAAAGGAGGCAACGACATTATCTACTTTGTTCAATTCGCCCTTCTTGAGGGTTTGGTCAATACGGACACTGTCTTGCCAGACCACACGTCCCGCGCCGATGTTCAGATGGCCGACTTCACTGTTGCCCATGAGACCTTCCGGCAACCCAACGGCAAGCGACGAGGCATCGAGCTCGGAGTAGCCCTGGGCAGTCTTGGAATCGGCCTCGGCAAAACCGGACATGAAGGGAGTCTCTGCAGCGAGGATAGCATCACCATCCTTGCGGGAGTCGGGGCCGGCAACACCCCAGCCATCGATGACGACTGGTTGGCCGTGTTAGCAATTTGTTATGGAAAGTCGGATCGCATTGCGGCGCAAGCACTTACTGAGGACAACTTTTTGGTCGACCTTAGCCATAATGAACTGCCGAGATAGTTAATTTCCGGACAACTTTTAACTAATTTTTGAGGGAATTGAGAAAGGGCAGAATCAATTACCAAAAGAAGGAGGTCAAGTAGAAGTGAGAGTAGGAGAAGAAGGTGGTGGAGAAAAGGAGGGAAGAGACGAAAGAGGAAAATATAGGTTGCTCGGTGAGAAGCAGTCGTATCGGGTGATGAAAATAGAGGGGGAGGGGTGTTCCGCCGGTGACGCTTTTAGGGTGAGTGTCAGTCAACTGGCCTGCTGGTGCGACGTCACTTCTCTTTAGTCAAAAGTCACGGGCGGCGACCGGTTGTTCTCGTCCGTTCTGCGTTACCCGTTCCGACTCTTCCCTAAACAATTACCCTGATCAGAACTACCTTCACCTTCGTTCGTCGCAAAGCCCTTACTTGTCCCCGCAATGGCTTCTCGATCCCCGGCGGCGATTACTCCACTGCCAAAATTATCGTCGGCTCCCCAGACGCCCATCGTGAGGGATACAACGGCTGTACCATCAACAGTACCACAACCTGTCCCCTTCCCTCCTCCACAGACGTTCGATATCATTCCGCCATTGCACGGTCTGCTTCTCCGATTACTCTCACCACAGGCGAATACGGAAGGTGTATCAAATGACACACGAGCCGCCGAAGACTCTGGGGCAGCTACCGCTCCCACCGGCACCACGTCCACTGCAGCAGTCCAGTCCCAATCTCATCCACAACAACAGCAATCGGCTGCTGGGAACCAAAATAATGACGGCAATGGCGTAATGCCCACTGTTTCCTCTGCGGCACCAGGTAGCGCCTCCGCTGCGGCCGAAATAGCTGCGTTGAGTTCAAACGCGCCTCCACCGCTAGACATCAAAGACCTTCCTACCGAGGCCAGCTCCATCAAGATTCGTATACAGAAAGCACAAGCTGTGGTGGAGAGCCTGCCTGATGTTCACCGTTCAGTTGTGGAGCAGGAGAAGGAGATCAAAGAACTTGAGCACAGAATATCTAGACTCAAATCGGTCATCTCCGATTTTGGGAGAAGAGCCGACCCTGCGAAAACAGAGACAACAGAGATTGAAGCAGCTTGAAGGGGTTCCACCACGACAGGGTTGTCTGTTCCACGGCGGATATTCCCACCGTAAGGGTAACAGACTTGGCCACAGAGATTGCCTTGTGATTTGCAGTCAGCGAGAGAGGGTATTGGATGCATCATGGAAGCACAACTTGGATAACAACTCGCAAATCCCGACGATGGCTTCCCAGCGCCAGTGTGGATTGTAGACGAACACATCGGTTTGCTAAGATCTGGCTAAGCAAGGGATAGTAAAGCGTGCTAGATACCTTGGGGGCATTCAATGGATGCCGGCTTCCATGAACCCTAATGGCGTTGCTACATGGCAGACCTCGTTACAGCTAGCTGCCTGGCCCCGATAAATTTGGAGTTCACGTAAGAGGCCAGATTCATCCTTCTTAGAATGGCAAATGGAGGACATCAGAGAAAGAAGAATTACAGTGACATGATGGTGGATTCTACCATCCCGATAGTATATCTTAGAGCGTTGCGCCTGGCATGCGTTGCTCGGGGAGGGGTGGTAGTATGTCGTGCTCACCCCTCAGTGGCTCCCACGGTCCTCGTCCCATGTAAATGATGGGGTTTCGTTATGTCTGCCACCAATTGATACATACAATTAACCTTTTCTTTTGCTCCTTTTCCCTTAAAATTAACAACCATTATTCTTAGTAATGTAGGTAATGAGGAGAAGAACAAACCCGATCTCCAACTGCACAATATTCGTAAACGCGAAAAGCGCACGAAATCATTGTTTGCATCTTCTCCAACAAAAAGAGAGCTGGGCTTGGTCTCCTCCGTACCGGATGGAGTACGGAGTATACGGAGCTATCATCATGTGACTCATAGTTCTCCATTAAGTTTTTCATTTATACTTTTTTCATTTTTTCCCCAAGGGAATGACGACTAAACCCCAGGTGGTTAGAGGCCCCTCACGGTTCCAACTCCGGGCGAATCAGTTTCCCGGTGAGGGGAGAACTGAGCTCCGATGTCGTTCCCGGTGGCCGACGCCCACGGTTAGTAGTACGAAAAAGTACTCCGTAAGATCCCTGGTCCGAGCCTGTTTCTATTGGATATGATAAAATGTTAAAAAGGCGGGACAGTCTTCCTGAGGCACCCAACACCCCACTAATACTACGACCGGGTCTCTATTTTCTCTCTTCTGCTTCTGCTTCTCCTTCTTCCTCTTCTCTCTCTTCCTTTCACTCTCCAATTCTCTCTCTACACATCTTTTCCCCCTAGTATTCTTTGCTGTACTAGCATCATCTTTCACAATGGCCACCTACGCTCTGTCGCAGGCCCACCGGGACGTGAGTATTGGTACAACTGAAATTTTTCGTGCCACAGTCACTGACTCATGAGGCAATGTAGCAAATGGAGAAGACTCTCGTTGAGTCCGATCCCGAAATTGCCCAGATCATGGTAAGTCCGATTTGATTCAGTCAAGATGGGTCTTGAACTAGTCTAACAGTTTGCAGGAACAAGAGATTCAGCGTCAGCGTGAATCCATCGTCCTGATCGCTTCGGAGAACTTCACTTCTCACGCCGTTTTCGACGCCCTTGGCTCTCCTATGTCCAACAAGTACTCCGAGGGTTACCCCGGTGCCCGTTACTACGGTGGTAACCAGCACATCGATGCCATCGAGCTCACATGTCAGGCCCGTGCCCTGAAGGCCTTCAACCTCGACCCTGCCAAGTGGGGTGTCAACGTTCAGTGCCTGAGTGGCAGCCCTGCCAACCTGCAGGTCTACCAGGCTCTTATGCGCCCCCATGACCGCCTGATGGGTCTGGATCTCCCCCACGGAGGCCATCTGTCCCACGGTTACCAGACCCCCGCCAGGAAGTAGGTTTCACATCGTCTAGCAGTGGTTTCGTCGTCTCCGTTGCTAATTGAAAACTGCACAGGATCTCCGCCGTCTCTACTTACTTCGAGACCTTCCCCTACCGTGTCAACCTCGAGACTGGTATCATTGACTACGATGCCCTGGAGGCCAACGCCGAGCTCTACCGCCCCAAGTGTTTGGTTGCCGGTACCTCCGCTTACTGCCGCTTGATCGACTATGAGCGCATGCGTAAGATCGCTGACAAGGTCGGCGCTTACCTCATTGTTGACATGGCCCACATCTCCGGATTGATCGCTGCCGGTGTTATTCCTTCTCCCTTCGAGTACGCCGATGTTGTCACTACCACCACCCACAAGTCTCTCCGTGGCCCCCGTGGCGCCATGATCTTCTTCCGCAAGGGTGTGCGCAGCACCGACAAGACTGGCAAGGAGATCCTGTACGACCTTGAGGGTCCCATCAACTTCTCCGTTTTCCCTGGTCACCAGGGTGGTCCCCACAACCACACCATCACTGCCCTTGCTGTTGCTCTCAAGCAGGTTGACACCCCCGAGTTCAAGCAGTACCAGCAGCAGGTCTTGAACAACGCCAAGGCTCTGGAGAACGAGTTCAAGCAGATGGGCCACAAGCTCGTCTCTGACGGTACTGACAGCCACATGGTCCTGGTGGACCTCCGCGCCCATAAGTTGGACGGCGCTCGTGTTGAGGCTGTCCTGGAGCAGATCAACATTGCTTGCAACAAGAACTCCATCCCCGGTGACAAGTCTGCCCTTACTCCTTGCGGTATCCGTATTGGTGCTCCTGCCATGACCACCCGTGGTATGGGTGAGGAGGACTTCAAGCGCATTGCTCACTACATCGACAAGGCCGTCAAGATCTGCAAGGATGTCCAGGCCGAGCTCCCCAAGGAGGCCAACAAGCTCAAGGACTTCAAGGCCAAGGTTGCTTCCGAGACCGTCCCGGAGATCCTGGAGCTGCGCAAGGAGGTTGCCGCCTGGGCTTCCACCTTCCCTCTCCCCGTTTAAATGTGATACCAAAATTTTCTGTGTTTCATTTGTTTAGTCTTGCGAGTTCAACATCTTTGCGTCTAAAATGGATTGGGTGTGTTTTACTAGGGGTTTATATCGGTCTGCTTTTTCAACCTTACGCGGGTCACGGGATATGAGTATGTGAACGAACAAAATAGCATTGGATGGCTTTTTCAACACCTCTTCAACAGGACAAAAGTTCATGTCTACATCATCGGGCTGGACCTCCAGCTCTTAAATGGATATGCTTGCCATTCACGAACATTTTTAAATATACATTAATGAATTTTTCTCACAAAGTTACATCCCAGTAACCCCCAGAACTGTAACGTAAGCAATGAAGATGTAGAGAACCAAGGATATTCATTATTATTCCTGCCTTAGGGCTCTATCGCGACGTCAAGTTTGAATCATCTAGATAACATTGTATAGCACAAACCAGTCATGCCATCATATCAACGCGCAATTTATGCCACAGACGTTTTAGTAAACCCCGAATGATACACGCAGTGAAAAAAAAAAAAAAAGAAAAGAAAAAGACTATTAAGCCCAGAACAAGTCTCGCCGATAGTTTATCTCCACCTACAACTCAACCCTTTCTTCCCAGCCCACGACGGGGTCATCATCTACAGTTCCCTCTTTTTGTTCCTGCCATGACTGGAAGAGCAACGTGGCGACATTCTTACCCATCAGCGCGCTTGTCTCCATCGTAGAGATGAAGCTCTCGATCCCACCGGTGTACCAGATATTCGGGGACAAGAGTGTCTCTTCGAATGTGACTCGTGGGTAGAGGAACGGGTAAGGATACCAGATCTTCTCGTGATGCCAGCTGATATCCTGTCGAGAGAGATCGCCAATAGTCGAGTTGTTCTTTACAGGATCGGATGAGCTCTTCAGACCCAAGATGCTTCTTACGAAGTCAGCTGATAGCCGCTCGGGTGAAAAGACCTTGTAGACGTAGTGTTTCGACGAGTTCTGGTCTGGGGATGCCGGGGGGTGGTCCACTGTTTGGAGCGTGCTGATGCTCCAGAAACCGGTTGGACCCACTCCTGCCTTTTCAGAGCCCAGGTCCAGGTCGCTGGGAACGGTGGTAAGAATAGTTTCGGGGGTCTGGGCACTGGCCCCTTGGAGGTTAAAGAATTTGGGTGAGAGCTTATGTGGTGAGGAGAATAGGGTCACATGGAGTGTTACAAAAGGAATCTCATCCGGCTGTTTTTCCACGGGAGGAGTGATCGAGAGCTCGGAATGTTGCAAGGGACCAGCAATCACTACTTCGTCAAAAACGAGCCTCTGCTCCTTCGAGTTGTTGGCCTTGTAAGTTAGAGTTAAAGTGTTATCGGCATTACGTTGAATGGATGTCACTGTGTGGTTTAGTCGAACATCGGCTTGCGCGGCCTTCAGCATTCCTTGAAAGATTTGCCAGTTTCCACCCTTGATAGACACTGCTCCATCTGTGGCCATGCACACCATAGACTCGAGGCCATGTATGAGACCCAGATTCTGTCCGTAGTTGACCCGTGTGCTAGCTTGTATGATATCCCGAGAGAAGTCAGGAGATATGTTATTCTCCTTGAGGAAAACGTCACCGGGGGTTGAAGTTGAGTCTAGCAAGCCCACTGCGGCGGCTGCGGCAGTCAGGGACCTAAAGGGAAACATTGGTTCTTCATAGAGTTTCAAGAACTTGTTGACTGTGCTTTTCATCAAGTTCTGGGTCCGAATGGGTGCCCAGCCGTAACGCCAGAGCAGCTTAGGAATGTTCCACCAACTGTTATTCTGGAGCACAAAGACAAACTGCTTCCCATCCCAGACGCCGATACTATCATCAGCTTCCTTGGGCCGGGCTGCGTCAGCACTATCGACAAACAGACCGAGCTCTTTGGATGCGTTCATGAGGTTGTAGTTGACCTTGACGAAGATCGATGCACCTAGCTCCACGGGATATGCCGGATGGTCTAGAACATTTACTGTGGTTGACCGACCGCCCACATACGAATCACGTTCGAAGACAGTGATATTGACTGGAATTGAGGATGCATCTGCATGTTTGCGGAGAGAGTATGCAGTGGAAGACCCTCCAGCTCCAGCTCCTGTGAGCTTCATTAGCCTCTAGTATACCAATGTTAGCCCGAGCTTAAGTACTCACCGATTATTGCCACTCGCTTAGGGACAGTATCAGAGGCTTGAGTGAATGAATGCTCCTTGGCATCACCGAGTGAAATAAAACACAGTGCTATGACATAGTGTATGGCTAATAGCCAGAATGAAGGTTTAACAAAGACCGCCATGGTCAAATGAACGGCACTAAACTGTGAGGACTCCGTATTAGCGGCAAAGTATCCAAGCGATCATGGAACGTGCACTACTGCACTGCTCAATACTCAATAGCCACACTACACTGTTCTTCTGATAAATTGCGGTTAATGTTATGATTTAAGGATATGAGGAAGGATGGCAGTTGCAGAGAGATAGAGAATGAGAGACGTCAGACAACAAGGCACAGAGCTGGTGACGAATCACAGAGTGGTACGGGGTTGTATCGGGGCTAGTCCCCAACTGGACTAGTGTATCGTGAACCCCGTATCGCTTATCGGCCTAATCTTTTTTCTACTGTCTTTTTTTTTTTTCTCTACTGGACGAATGGAGGGGCTGATTGCTTTTATATGTTGACACTTTCTGTGCACACTTATTGTCAGCTGTTCATAAATTAATATAGTCTACTTCCTAGTCTAGTTTCCTCGCCAATTGTCTCGCCACCATATTAACCTCACAATTATGGATCCTTATGACAGCGACTCGTCGGGGTTTGAAGAAGAGGACTTCACGGAGACCAGTGTGCTTTTGGGATACGCTTCGGAGGAGCTGTTAGATGACTCGATTAGTCACCTCGGAGGTTGGCCAGTATGTGACTGTTTTAGTCTCAATGGATATATCATGAGCACACAAATACTGATCACCTTTGACTCCAGACATGGCTGGACGATTCGACCCCGCCCCCAGGCGAATTCGCCAATTGCAAAGTCTGCAACAGCCCTATGATCCTCCTCCTCGAATTGCATGGTGACCTCCCCGACCACTTCCCGGATGATGAGCGACGACTGTATATCTTCGGCTGCCCCAGAAAACCGTGCAATCGCAAGCCCGGCAGTATCAGAGCCTTACGCGCTACACGGAAGTTGAAGTGCCAGCCAGCGCCCAAGAAGGAGGAAAAGCAGGAATCAGTAAAGGAGAAGGAAGAGCAAAAGAAGCAGGCTGAGGCTCCCAAGCCGGATCTTGGAGCAAGCCTGTTCGGGGCGACCTCTCTCACTGGAAGCGTCTCTGCGAACCAGAACCCTTTCTCGACCAGTTCGTCCTCCGCACAAGCCAGCAACCCGTTCGCTGCCCCTCTTGCAGCACCCCAACCGGCCAAACCAGCGGCTTCATCGAACCCGTCCGGAAATTCCCTTTCCGAATCGTTTGCGGACAAAGTTCGAGTTTCCTCCCCGCCCCCGACTATCAAGCCACCCGAGGCCGCCGGCCCCGCTGCCCCTTGGCCTCCGCAGTCCGACTTCCCCTCACCGTACAAACGGTACTATTTAGATGCGGAGTACGAAACGCTTTCTCGTCCACCTACCCCGAAAATTCCCGATAACGTTGTCATTGATAACACCGAAGATGATGCCAATGGTGGCTCGGGCGCGGACCTGAAGGATGCCCTAGAGTCTGAACTGGACAAAGTCTTCATGAAATTCTCGACCCGTCTTGGACATAACCCCGAGCAGATTTTGCGATATGAATTCCGTGGCTCTCCCCTCCTCTATTCTCACACCGATGCCGTCGGAAAGCTTCTTTATGACCCCAAGAACCCTCCCTTGGGCGCTAAGGTGACTACTACTGGAGGTCCGAGCCGCATGCCACGCTGTGAATACTGTGGTAGCCAGCGTGTTTTCGAGCTGCAGCTCGTGCCTCATGCCATCAGCATGTTGGAGGATGGCCGTGAGGGGGTTGGACTGGGCCCCAAGGATGATGGCATGGAATGGGGAACCATCATTCTTGGTGTCTGCAGCAAGGACTGTGGCCCCGAGAAAATTGGGGAAGTCGGTTGGCGTGAGGAGTGGGCGGCAGTGCAGTGGGAAGAATCGAAATAAACGTACAGGCTCATGACTGATGTCCTATAATGCTTATGACCGCATAGACACTATCAACTCAAGTTCAAACATTTACATCTACTTTTCCCCGTGTATCCTATGCAGACGGGGTGCTATGCAGGGTGGCTCGCTCAGTATTACGGTTAGACACATGATCTCCTACTGGAGTAGATGCAAAACGGCCCCAGTTACTAAGAATTCTCAGTCATCTTTGCTCTATGGGATATCTTCTCGAATATAAAGAAGTAAATAACGGAGAGAAAGAAAAGTTGTTTTTCACGTAGACAACATCATGATGATGAGAAACATAAGTGATGTCGAGCAAACACGTAACGCCACATGCGCCGGTCCTGACTTCCCAACCCTCCTCATGCAGGTCTATCCCCGTCATCATCATCTTGGGCTCCGAGCTCGTTTCGTGGGTCTGAAGCGGACATAATCCTTTTACGAGCCTTTTCAATCAAGAAAAGACGCGAAGCGAAGATCCATATACACGGTTGGATCTTCGAGGCATAATATTAGCAAGAAAAGGAAAGAGACACGGTTAGATTTTCGATTAGAGGAGACTCCGCTCAAGCAGCCTGCTCGAATCCCCGTCTGATAACACGGCCGAACATCTCAACACCGACGCGCTCGCTCTTGACTTCGCTGCGGGCCTCGTTCTCCTTGTTGGTGGGGACCTTGACAACAGTGCCGTTGGGGCCGGACTTGTCGACCTCCCAGCTGCAGACCTCGGCGACGAACTTCTCAAGGGCCTCACGGCTCCTCAAGTCAAGCCATTGCTCGAGAACCTCGGCGTTGATCTCACGGAATGCCTTGCCAACCTCAACAGCGATGCGGATGCGGACCAGCTCCTCGAAGCCGGCGACATCGGCGGTCAGATCGGCGTAGAGATCATCGGAGTTCAAGGTGGACCAGAACTGAGCGTACTGGGCAGACTCAAGGAGCGTGGAGAGGCGCGCGAGCTTCTGAACAGATTCAACGAAGTCGGAGGTCTGAGATGCGGCCTGGGCCTCGGCGTTGGAGGGGAAGGGCTGAGTGTGGGCGGGGAGCAGGGCGAGGCAAAGAGAGAAAGCAGGGGATGGGAAAACGGTAAGCGCCTTAGCAAGGATGTTGGTGACGGTCTCAGCCTGGAGAAGGTGGGGGTTGAATTGGTAGCTGCCCAGGAGGTGCTTAAGTTAGCGAGAACGACGAGAAAGTTCAGTAAACTCATTCAGCGACAGTTAATGATTTTGAGGGCTTTATCAGAAGTATGTAATCCTCGACATCCCTCAATTTGAGGTGTCCGTTAATAGGAAACGTGATAATAATAAAAGTATCTCTCCATCATTGAAGCCCGGTGGTATTGAATTTGTCGAAACTCTCGGAACAATTGCGTAAACAATCAAGCGCATGCACTCACAGCTTCAGCAATGCCAGGTTGGCATAGCAATCGAATGTCCTGTCCTCGCACTGTTGTACAACGTAGTCCTGGAAAACGGTGGTCGTCTCGGGGTTGTATCTGTCCAGGCCGTTGAGGATGGCATCGATATTGGCCGGCCGAGTCTCACACTTGTCGAAAGCGACACCCATCTTGACGATTTCTGGTTTCCTTGAAAAGATCGTTTGAAAAGAAGTTACCCCGGATGGGAATTTCAGTGTGGACCTTAACGGAAACGGGCGATAGCGAAGCGCGTGGTACTAATCGGACTGCGGGATGGCTTTTTTGGTGGGATTTTTCGATTGTGTCGATGTCGATGTGCGGGCACTCGGAGCATCGGAGCCCCAGAACGGCATGTTTCTCCGATTGGTATGTAGATCGAAGTATATCCAACCATCTTGCTGATTACTCCGCATTATAGGTAAACCCCGCTAGACACGTTATAAATACTGGTCCAGTGACCTCGGGAGAATGATTTCAGTTGGGAGTCTCTTTTCTCTTCGGATGGTGGAAAGCCTTCAAGTGAGCGTGCACCATGCGACTTCTTATATCTTGCCTTACCCAGCCACTAGCCCCCTTGTTGCTGGGATTGATGACGACAGCAACGGCTCAGTCCGTTGATTATTCACAATATGTGAACCCTTTAATAGGCTCTGAAGGTCCCATACCCGGGAAAGGCTATGGAGGAGGAGACATTTTTGTTGGTGGTGCTCGGCCATTTGGCGTAACCAAGGTTGGGATTGACACGACAGCTGCAAATTGGTCGATTGCAGTGCTTAACGGTGGCTGGACCCCTGATGGGAATGTGACCGCCATTAGTATGTATCCCTAGCATGAATTTCCCTATTCGCTCGCAAAGACCTGAACATTTATGCAGGCATGATGCACGAGAGCGGGACTGGAGGCGCACCGAAATATGGGATTATCCCACAGATGCCTCTCACCGACGTGTCGTCGCCAGTGAATATACTCGATAATCTCACATATAGCCAACCGAGGGTATAGCTATGCTCTAATTATATCAATCATTCATTCATAAGTTTACAGGCGAATAGGTCGGCCAAGACACCGCTAGTGTGGGCTATTTCAAAACTCAACTACAAAATGGCATAAAAGTGGAATTATCGGCATCCCGCCACGCCGGAATCATGCAGTACTCTTTCCCAAAAGGCGAGAAATATGTCTTGGTTGATGTCTCGCACGTACAAACTCCTTTGCCACAATGATTCAGTTCTAGTGCGTAATCTTACTGCCTTATAGTACCTTCCTGGATCACCAAGTGACCCGAATGGCCAATACTATATTGGTGGAAAGGTTCAAGTTCATGAAAATGGTAAAGAATATAGCGGATATGGGACCTATGTTGGCGGCTGGAATAATGGTTGGTTGTCCATATATTGATATCGAATCTATGCTGAATACCAATAGGCGCCCCGTTCACTGTCTACTTCTACGGGGAGTTTTCCGAAACCCCGGCATCGGCCACTACGTTTACAGGTAGAAACACCGACCCAATGAGGCAGTATCAAACCTTCTCGAATGGGGGAATGAGCTATCCAACCTATGGTAACGAGTCGGATACGGCAAGCTCAGGACCTATGAATGACCGGGTAGGCGCGCTTTTTCGCTGGGATCTTGTGGAAGAATCACAAATCCGTTCAAAGGTCGGCATCTCGTTCATATCCACCGAGAAAGCTCGCTCTTATATCCAATCCGAAATCCCCTCATGGGATCTTAGCGATGCAGTAAAATCGGCAGTAGAAGAATGGAATCAAGACGTCTTCAGTAAAATAAGGGTGCCCATTGATAGTACCACGAACCAGACACACGTGCGACTACTATACAGCTCCCTTTACTTTATGCACTTGATGCCATCCGATAGGACAGGCGAGAACCCACTTTGGCATTCGGAGGAGCCCTTTTGGGATGATTTCTACACTCTTTGTAGGTATATACCCTACTTGAGTTAGCTTGGGCTAAATCTTGACTAGGGGACATCTTCCGGTGTACAATTAGCTTCTATCATATATTTCAGCCTTCTTACTACGAGTCCATGATCCGGGGTCTTATTGATATCTGGAGGTAGGAGGTCTATCACCTGGAAAGACTGAACCTGAGCCTAACCACTATACACAGATACCAGGGCTTTCTACCAGATGGGCGATCCGGAAACTGGAATGGATTGGTTCAGGGAGGCTCGGATGCTGATAACATGTTAGCTGATGCATACGTCAAAGGTCTTCGTGGCGCGATCAACTGGACGGATGGTTATGCAGCAATGAAAACAGATGCTGAGGTTATTCCATACAATACCTACGATCCCACAGACTTCTCCGCAAGCACGAAGGAAGGCCGCGGAGCCCTAGGAGACTGGATTGAGCTAGGCTATGTATCGCAAGACCGGAACACGCGCTGTATTTCCAGGACTGTTGAGTACAGCCTCAATGACTTCGCTCTCAGTCAGGTTGCAGCGGGCGAAATGCCCAGTGATCGGGAGAAGTACCTCAATCGGTCTGCAGGGTGGCAAAAGATTTGGAATCCAGACGTGCAGAGTTTAAATTTCACAGGGTTTGTGGCACCAAAATTTTCCAATGGTACCTTCAACAGTAGTGGATACGATCCGTTATACTGCGATGAGTGCGAGTGGAGCTCCTATACTTATGAGGGTACACCATGGGGTGAGTTGCAATCATTGCTGTTGGTCTAAGGGATGATCACTGAGATCATGTTGCTTTAGAATATTCCTTTGTCATCCCGCATGACATGGAGACACTGATTGAACTCATGGGCGGCACTGACACCTTCGAGACCCGCCTAGACCTTATGGTAAGAGACCCAAGAGTACAGTTGACGGGCGCTTACACCACGCGTAGTTCAAACCGAACATGTCTGTTCAAGATTTGGGCCCCAATGGTGCCGGTATCACCACACTTATCAACATTGGGTATGTTAGGGTTGTAGCACTGGGACAAGCTGGACCTAGCTAACCTATTCGACAAAGGAACGAGCCTGACTTCGCTACACCTTACCTCTACAACTATATCAATAAACAAGCCAAGAGCGTGCAAAGATCCCGCAGTCTTGGATCCCAATAGTAAGGGGGACACCAGAAGATACTTTACTACAAACATGCGGTGCTAATTCGAACTTGTGTATTAGCTTCAAAGATGCCCCTTACGGTGTCCCCGGAAACAGTGACGCCGGGGCAATGAACTCATGGCTTCTATGGCAGATGCTTGGGATTTACCCAGTTGTCACGCAGCCCGTGTACTTGATCTCGTCTCCATGGTTTCCCGACCTCAATATGACCATTAATGGGAATCAGACCTTGCGGATCACTGCGACAGGGCTAGATCAGGGGTATTATGTGCAAAGCGTGAAAATAAATGGCCAGCCCTGGGAGAAGAACTGGTTCGAGCACAAAGATCTCATGGAACAAGGTGGCAGCATTGAGTTCGAACTTGGCTCTGAGATGAAGGCTTGGGAGACCGGCAGCGTACCCCCTTCACCGGGACACATGACGATATAAAAAGGCAGAGAGATCTCCTGGCGTGCTAAATTTAAATATAGTATCTATAATGAGATTGCCGCTGCCAATGACCTAATGCACAAGGTAATCTAACGAGAAATATATGAGGGGTGTCTACTCCGTACTACTAATAGTACAGTAGGGTGGTCGGATCGCCGTAGTTCCGTATGGATTTCGTATTGATAATTCGATATCCATTCACTGGTAACTCCCTTTAAAATGGATGAATCTCTAGGATTTAATAACATACCCTATCCTTTTTGTGCAGGCTGTGGTTGATTAATGTATACGATCTTCGCTTTGTTGGCGCATTCTCCTAGACAAACTTCCAGCGCGCGGGCACTATACGAATGCAGATTAGACGTTTTGCCGTCTATCGATGGAACATCGGATTGACGTAGTGATGATTAACAATAAGCTTAAGTCAACACGAAGTCAATCAGCCAGTGGTCAGGTTTGGGCGATCGGCCGTTGTCGAAGGATTCGCGAGCCTTGTTTGCCGAGATTGCGTCACTCCCGCGACTATCCAACATCCGATATATCGGCGGCATTGGGAGAATGTCCATTGCTCCAGCAAGGCTGTCGTCAAAAGACAAGGAGGAAGTAACCGAGGGATATTATAATCAGAACGTGGGGCAACCTCATCCTCTGGAGAAAACTTCCTAAAGTGCAATCAAGAATGCGGGTCCAACCCTCCGATTTGCATCCAACGGCACATGGAAGCGGAAGCGCCATCGGCATGCTTACTGCATGTGAATAAAAGATAAAAAAGAGCTAAGACAGCCCGCTGTGTCCTCTTATTGGAAGGAAGTCACGGATCGGAAGTCAATGGCCTTGCTTTAGGCGATAGAGATCGTCGCAGGATCTGTGACCCTCGCAAGACGTGTGGTTGACGTCAGTGAGTGAAAAATCCGCATATCGATGATGCTGTGCGGAAGCTTCATATATTTTGGGTATTTTGTCCTGGTGGTCATTACCATTTCCATGCCTCTCAGACTCTATAAATAATTAGAGTAAACTTGCTATCGGTCCACCATCATGGTAAGTTGCGAATGGATCCCATGGATCCCTCCATATCGGCCCGAACCAGGAACCGTGGATAATCCAGCCTCTGATCATTCCATACCAATGGTCCCTGTTAACATTTATACTTAGGCTCCAACCTTCTTACTTCAGGCCCGTCAAGCCTCTGATAACTGTCCCGACAGCATTTCGGGTGGGGGTATTGCTGGAATCGTCATTGGGTCGATCGCGGGCACGCTATTGCTTCTGTGGCTCTGGAGAGTGTGTTCGTTACCCGGGGCCCAGGGCGGCGGAGAGCCCGATTATGGTTATAGCAGCTATGGTGGTGGAGGAACTGAGACTCGCCACCGGCATCGACGTCGACGAAGTCCAACGTACTATGAGTACGTGGAGAAACCGAGCGTGAGGAGACCAGCGAAGGTCTACCTCAGCTGAGATGATATGGATGGAGCACGTGGGAAGTATCAATATATTTATGGAAACTCAACCCCTTTCCGGGTTTGGCTGGGATGTCAGGTGCTGTGGAATGCCCGGAGGCTGTCACTATTAAACTGTATTGAACGAACGGTACGACGTCATGATTCAGGAAAATACCGACATAATACCTGCCGACTGCTATCGGTCAGGTCGGTCTGGAGATGGAGCCACTACACGAACTTTTAATGATGAACGGGCTTTGCGTTTCAGTCTGAACCACACATGGGGCGCGGTGTAACATCGTGCGGATTTTGTATGGCCCAAGGATATTTTTTTCTTCTTCTTCTCAAGCACAGCGCAAGGGATGTTCATGA